CATGGAGGAGGACCCTGCTCCAAATGATAGGATAGACTTTGAAGATCCCCCCCATGGAAGGCCTCACCCTCCCTAGGGAGCAGAAATGAGATGGGATAGAGGGTTGGTGGGGAGCAGGGGAGGAGAGGAAGGAGAGGGAACGGGGATTGACATGTAAAAGAAGCTTGTTTCTAATTTAAATTTAAAAAGACATCATGAAAAAAAAACCTTCAGCAACTAAAGTTTAAAATTTAGTAAGAAGATATATAAACCATAGAAAATCGGACAAACTATGACCAATCAAGATACAGAAAGAAAATAAACAAGGGGCTGTGGTACCCGCCATCAGTGTTGAAGATGGCTCAGCTGGGGGTGGCTGAGAGGGGTCTCATCTTACGCTTTAATTTTAGGAGTTTTTTTAATATTACCCAATGCAAGAAAGGATACCAGATCTGTGCCTGTAGACAGGTGAACTCTTCTGGTCCTGCATAAACAGCACCTGTGACAGAGTGTTCAACACACTGCTAGACATGAAGTTGGGTACTTCCTGATGTTTAGTGATTATATCTGAATGTGACATTTATAAGCAGGCCCTCACCAGTTCAGTCTTTGAGGTGAATTGTACTAAACCAAAGAAGACAGAAATCCTTAAAAACAACTGCCACGAAAGCAGGCTGACCAAAACTCTCAGAGGTGTCTGGCCACTTGTCAAAAGACGCACACCACTGAAGATCTACCTCTGACTTTCCAAACCAAGTACCAGTGTGATAAGCCTAGATACATGAATTTAAAACCTTATTTTACTACACATGTATGGCCATTTTACCCATATATTCCTGTGTGCACTATGTCAGTGTAGTGCCTAAAGAGAAGGAGGCGTCAGATCCCTGGGACTAGAGTTACAGGTGGCTATAAGCCATCACATGGGTGCTCACTCGGAAGCAAACACTAGTCCTCTGCAAGTACAGCTGCTTAGCCATTTCTCTAGTCCCAATACATAAAATCCTGAGACTTTAAAAAATTGAAAAGTAGAGAAATATTTTAAATGCCTGCTGATATTTTGAGGGAATGTTACACTAACATTACACTCTGGAGTCTAGCTAGGACTCCTGAGAGTTTACTTGGCCATTTCATAGGCCCTAACAGAGATTACATTTTGTAAATGACTTTGAAGTCCACAGAGGCCAGAACTAGCAGCCTCTTCTTTGTCTGCTCAGCCATCGTCAAGTCATGGCAGGCTTGTTAGGGACTGAAGCCTGCTGTACTTTTAACAAGACATCCACTAAGCCTGAACGGGGGCAGTTGAGACACGTCTGAGGCATCTGTCTTTTCCTAATGCATCAAGAAGGAATCAGTGACAAGCTCCCGGTGACACTGAGCATGGGGAAACATGTCAAGGATGTTTACGCTGCCCACGTAGCAATTTTCCTTGGGGACAGTTATGACTTTGTACTGTCATTTGCTTCAGAGTGATGAGGTATTATGAAGACAGCTTAGATGTGTCCTTAAATTGCTTAAAGTTGAGAAAAATAAGTGATAGATCTCTGTCAGAAGCAATAACGTCTGGCGATGTATGTGTCAAGCCTCTGTGGGTGAGATATGGATTGCGAGGTGAACACATGATCTTCAATTTTAATTGGATTAATGTGTGAGAAGCAAAAGCATCCCTAGGTTGGCTTTCCAAAAACCATTGATTTAAATCCTTAAACAAAAACTTCACAGCCCCTTCATCCCCTAGGAAAGAGTGAGCTGTTGAGGTTGGTGATATCTATTATCTAGATGGTATTTTTAAATGGTATTTTATTAATTCTTTGAGAAATCTGTCTTATCGTACTCACCCCCACTCCTCCCAGAGTCACCTCAACCTCCCTACCCACCCACCTCCATCTTCTACCTATTTCTTACTGTCACTTACTCTCTCCTTCTCTCTCTAAATCCACCCAGTCAAATCTGGGGTGCACAGCTATCCGGCACATGGTCAGTATACCAAGTGTCTTACCATTAAAGAAACTAACTCTGCTCTCCCCACAGCTCTCAAATGCCAGTAGCTCATCAGCTAAGGATGAGACTTCTCATCTGCCTCCCCTCTGCCATGCTGCGCTTGTTTGGCTTGAGCTTGCACAGGTCTGGTGCGTGCTGTCACAACTGTTGTGAGTTCACAAGTGCATCTGTCCTGCTGTGTCCAGAAAGCGCTTTCTTTAAAGTCATTCACTACTTCTTTCTAGCTCTGAAAACTGCTCTGCCCCCTCTTTCGTGTAGATTCCTGATGGGAGGGATATAATACAGACAGCATATTTAGGGCTGGGCACTCCACAGACTGCTTTTCCCTGCACATTGGACTGGTTATATGTCTCCGTGTTAATGATTGTTATCTGATGCATTCTAAAACACTCTGTTTTAAGTCAATTTGGGGAAACCAAATGAAAATGTGTTTCACTTGAGTGACTTCTGTGCATATTGAAAATAGAAAAATCTGAGACAATGTGATGAAGACTGTCTGGGAGTCTGTGGCTTGACACGGCATCGTGTGACTGCTTTTCTAAACAAATTCAAGTTTATCCAGAAAAAGGGGCTTTTGTTGTCACAATTCAGCAACAGAGCTCAAAATACCTGGTTCAATGTGACCCTCTAAGTGGAAAAGACAATGTTTGCTCACAATAGTCAGCAAATAGGAGTCTGAGAGGTGAGAACGGAGTATGGATCTGAGAACTCATGAAAAACAGGGTAAAGTGCACACCTGCAACCTCAGTGCTGGGGGATGAAACAGAGCAGATCCTGGGAACTCACTGGCCAGCCAGCCAGGAGGGTCCCTTAGTAGAGACTCTGTTTCAAGGCTAGGAAAGTAGAGAGTGAGACCGCAGCACACCGGATGTCTCAAACCATGGCATGAGTGCACATACACACACAAGTAAATACGTGTAGTTAATGTGGGACAGTGAGCCGGAAATCCATATCTAGCCATCAATTAAGGCAGTAGGTGACTGTCACTCAGTGTCATTGCCCTGCAGAGGGTTGTGGTGTGCCAGCAGTGGGCCACCTTCTGTGGAACTCTTCTGCTGAGAAACCTGCATGACTTGGTTATCTGTGAGTGTGTGACTTTGTTCTAATGGAGGCATTGCTTCCTTAGTGAGCGGCTGCAGGGTTACAATCCTCAGAATCGTGTCATAAGATCATGTCTGGTGGGAATGACATACAAGCACAGCTTCAAGAAGTAGAAGAACTGAAAGACAGAGTGAAATGTCAGGGTATGTTTGGCTGCCGGCGAGATGTCCTAACACCACTGCCCCCAGCCAGTTCCTAAGTCAAATGCATTTTCCTGAGAGAAGCTCTGGAGAATAAGCAGCAACATTTTACCTCAGCTCAGGAAGCTTTCAATGGACACTGAAAGACGCCATCCAATTAGTAAGAACCAAGCATTCATCCCCCTGAATCTCAGAAGCTGGGAGGATGCACAGGGAGCGAGCCGAGCGTGTGAAACCCAGAAGACGCTATCAAGCAGCACTGACCTCCTGTGAAGAGAAGACTAAGACGCTGCAGCTGGAACCCACCCACCGGCTTCCCTGGAGCTCTGAGCACAGCCCATTACAACTGACAGCAAAGCATCTGTTAGAGGATTCTACACACAGGGTTGAGAGTCGCTCACGGTACCCTGCACAAGGTCAGATGTATAAGCCCTCTGAACACAAATCACCGGCCATTGTGTTTTTAGCATTCGGGCAGCAGGTGTGGGCTCTCTTTGAACAGGACCTCATTACCTAGCCCCTTGTCCCTACCCACTGTAAAGAGGATTCAGTGTGAATAGCTCCAAACTCCATGGGTCAAAACAGATCCTATTTTTCACGTTAAATTTTTCAGAAGTTGGATAGGCCCCCTCTCTACGCCGTGTGTTGCCCCATTGTATACCTGTAGATTTCACCAGGAACATGCTAGGGAGGCCTGTAACCCTAGATTTTCCAGCCACTGCACTGTGAGAAATGTTTTCTTTATTTAAACCACCCACTTGGTTATATTTTTATCATCTTAATCCAAACTGCTCCAAGGCAGATCCTTGGAGGTCTAGAGTTGTCAAGAAAAGCTAAAACTCCATCCAAAATGTTACATATAAAAATGATTTACAAGAGTATGTATTCCATAAAACTCCATTTTAACTATAAAGTACATACCCAAGGCACGTGTATGTGCACATGGAAGTCCTTGGCTCTGTCATTGTCTCTGGATTTGCCATGTTATTCTAATATGTTAACTGGAATCATTTTTCACTAATACAGTGAAGATAGGTTACATATGAAATATTAAAAAACTTTCTAGCCTTTTTTCATGACAAAAAAAGTAGCACTGGCTATTTTCAAAAGAATTTCTTGAGAGTTTTTTAAGAGTAAAGTTAATAGGGATGAGGTTAAATAAAAGACTGGTCAGCCTGGCAGTGGTGGCACATGCCTTTAATCTCAGCACTAGGGAGTCAGAGGCAAGCTGATCTCTGAGTCTGAAACCAGCCTGAACTAAACTGTGAAGTGAAGGACAGCCAGGACTACTCAGAGGAACCCTGTAACAAAAGAACAAAGGAGGACAAAAAATGATCCAATAAGGAGTCAAGAGATTAAGGCATCTGACCTGCCCCAGAGCTCCATGAACAGGGAAAATACTGGCTGAGGAATCAGGCCTTGCTGTGTCATCACAAACCCCGTGTCATATCCCAGTTAGAACACTAAGACCACAGAAAAATAAAGAGGATGAACCTTTGCAACAGGACAGCATCAGGTCACACACAAAGGCAAACCCACCAGGAAAACATTGGGTCTGTCCTCAGGAACTTTAGAACCCAATGTGATTCAAGCCCTGAAAGAAAATAACTGTTAACCCAGATTATTATTTCCAGCAAAGCTATCCTTGGTAACTGAAGGAGAAATGATAATTTCCCATGATTGGCGCAAACTAAAGGAACTTATAACTACTAAACCCGGGGACACGTGGGGGAATTGAAGTACTAAGGAGAAAAATAAATACATCCATGAGAGATTGTGGAAGAGAATAAATATTTATGCTTGCTTTTTGTTTTCTTCATAATGAGCCTGATATACTATGGACTATGTGAAGAGACTGAGTGACACAAGACCAAAGCCTCAGTAAATTAACACTTAAGCTTCATTACAGAAACACCAGGTCGGGAAAGAAATGTTTTCTGTGTGGTGTATTTGTGCTTGTTTTGGAGGCAATGCCATGGGGATGGGATGTTTTCATTCATTTTCTGTTTCTCCAAGAAAAATGGCCAAGACTGGATAATCTGTAACAGAGAGACATTAATTTATTTCCGATCTCAAGGAAGGACATGACCCAGCCCCTGCTTCTTGTTGCCTCAAGACAGTGTGTGGTCCATGGCATGGTAAGAAAAGGGACAACTGTGCTTCTCAGGGCTCTTCCAACTGCAACAAACTCACTTACGTATCGTCTTTCCTAGCCTTAATTACCCCAGTGCTCCATAGTACGTGTAAATTTACAGATTGTTTCCAACGTGTGAGTTCTACAAAGGCACATTTTAATAACAGCATGGGAATGATTAAAATGCAATGATGTTCCACAAAAACGTAGGTGAGGGGCCTTGAGGAACATCAATGTCGAAGTCTCTCAATGCTGGATAGACTAACAGATGTCTGCTGGGATATCCTCCCTAAGAACTCAGGACTTGAAGTTCTGCCCCCAGCAGCTTCCCTGGTCCACAGGCTTTTCACAGAGCAAGATCAAAACAAAACAAAACAAACAAAAACCCTTACCCTCCTACACTCACGGCTCTGGGAAGAGCAGTCAAACTCCAATGCAAAAACCAACAGCAGGAGGAATAGGATGGAACATGTCACACACATGTTTTATTGATTTATCACTGATGGGCAAATGGAGATGGAATCAAAGCCTGAATCATTGTGCAAAGTACACGTGTGCCATCTGTATCACCCAGGATCTAACAGAGAATTCCCAGGAGCAAGCTTGTGATGCCCAGAATGGTTCTGTTCAGCGACGAAGGCTGTTTTGACATTCTGAAGACAAGGATGAAAGCCAGGTGCCTCAGACTCACTGCATTTGTGAAAGACTATGCCATTATGAGTCTTCAAACGCAATTCTCTCAAGCCCTTTATGTAACCCACTTCAATGCACTCAGATGTTTTGTGGAATGCTGTACATTCTGCCTGATGTGTTACTTAACCAAATGGAGGGTGGACTCCCTCCCATGACACAAGTATATTCCTTCTATATAAAGACATTTTTCAAGACCCAGAAGCTCCTGTGCCTGCCTCTGCCCAGTTTTTGTTACAAACTATGGAAAGTAGATTCAACTTTATCCATTTGATCCCAGCAGAGGAATTCTTTATACATAAACCTGATATCAAAGCATCATAAATGAAGAGGTCCTGTGGGTTAAGAGGCTAATGCCTGAGATATATATCTTTCCATACCCAAAATATTCCCCATTTATAACCATAACCACTTAAATGCCATAGCTGGACAATGGCGGATCCCCATTTCCATTTCTCTTTACAAAACAAGGGGTCTGTAGTATGGAGAACTCAGCACCTTCATCAGGTTTTCAATCCAACAGCATGCACTGTGTATTTCAATGGCTACTCTGGCAAGGGGATACAGCCAGGAGAGAACATAAGCCCATCAACTAATAGTGCCCATTAAAATTTAAGTGGAATAATTTGATCAAAATTACTCCCTCACCATCATAACATTTTAAAAAGTTCTAGGGGCTGAGGAGATGGTTCCATTGATAAGGTGCCTGTCACACAGGCACCAAGTCCTGCATTCAGATTCTCAAGACCAAGGGGGAAAAAACCACACACACATCACGGCAAATACCTGTAAACACAGCCCTGGTGGACAGAGACAGGGAGTTCCCTGCAGCTCACTGGCCAGCTAGTCTTGTTGAACCATGAGTTCTGGGTTCAGTGAGAGAACCTGACTCTAAAGAATAAGGTGGGGAGCAATTGAGGACTCTCTCTGTCTCACTCTCTCTCTCTCTCTCTCTCTCTGTCACACGCACACACACGTTAGCATACATGCATACACACAAGTAAACACACACATTCTCTCTCTCACACACACACACACACACATGTAATGAGAAGAGAGCAGAGATAGAGAATACTATGTAGCACACAGATCTTAATCACCACAAGGCATGGGGCGTGGGAGGGATGGTATGTGATGTTGGCTTGCTCCTGCACTTGGGATAGGGAAGGTAGGAGGCACAGAGTGGAGCCATTTGAGAAATACCTGTGCTCCACCCATCGAGGTAGATACTTAGCTCTAGCCTCAGCAATCAATTTCCCTTCCTTCAAACATATTCAAAAACCATACCTTCCCACCCATAACAGAACACTGGGGTCCTGGAACCTGGGAGAGTTCTTTCTCACTCTGTGTGAATAAGCACGTACCTTGCTGTGGGAGAAGCCAGTGGCTACTCCAGAAAACAAACAAACTGTCCTTTTAGGAACAGTAGCCATCAAGGCTTCCAACAAACACCCGGCAAGTATGTGAATAGCATATGAAAGAGATTACAGTAAAAGGAACACCAAGGGACAAAATGATGTCACACCATAAAAATGAATCAGATAGACCAAAGGTAAGGGAAACCTAATCCAGATCAGAGAAGAGTCTGCCCTCTGTATTTCAGCCTAACCTCGTGATAACAGGAGAAAACTAGTGATGGCATTCCTTTGTAACATGGTTGGATGTAACTATGCTATGTTTGTGGAATAAATGAAGTCACAGGGACATTGGATGTTGAAAAATTTCAAAAGACTCTCAGCCATACTTGAAATTTGGCACACATTGGCATGTAAACCTCTCCATCTGGATTCCAGATTCAGCCAGGTCTTAGTTCCAACTCTGGGAATCTGGGTTTGGGAACTTACTGTGATGTGAAAGCCAGCACTGGCCTAGAGATGGATAAGGGATGAGGGCCTCAGGTGATCTCAAGGATTAAGACAGTTCTCAGCATCGCATGGGCTCACGTGTCTCCAGATGAGAAAAGGGGCTGTGTGTGAGCAAAATGCAAACAAGTGTCTTCCAGTGTCTGTGAATTATTTTTAAGATTCTGCTGGAAGAAGGAAATGCAAATTAGGTGATTCAGGATACTATTAATTACTAAATGAAATAGCTAGACCTTTTATGTGAAGGGCCTTAGAGAACGTAACTGAGACATTCAGGAGCCACTAAGCCGCACAGGGTGCGCCATGACCACATAATGACTTAGTTTCTATAAGCAAATCTTTGCATCCTAACTCGGCATCATATAAAGTGCATCACACAGTTGTTTGTGTCTAAAGCAAGTTGTAGAGGGGATGGAAGTCACTCTCATCTTCCTCTCTGACTTATAGTCCACACTCCTGATCTCTGGGCCTGTCTTCTCCAGATTCCAGAAACTGTGTCTTCAGGGCAGTGTCTGCTGCTGCCTCAGTCACAGCATTTGGTCTGTTAGGATGGGGTATGTCATCCTTAATGAGGGACAGAAGCAGACTTCGAGATGTCTCTGAAGATTATCCAGGAAATCCTGCTAATTTTACATCTTACATGCAAGTTTAAATAAAACATTTTGTAAGATAAAAAAAAAACAGCAGCATTGGGTGAGAAATCATGTAGAGGAAATCGTTGTTTCTTTTTAATTACTTGGGGTGTGTGTGTGTGTGTGTGTGTGTGTGTGTGTGTGTGTAGTGTGTGTAGTGTGTGACTGCATCTACACAGGTCAGAGGATAACCTGCAGAAATTAGTTCTTTTTGTCCATCATGGGGGTTTTCCAGGTATTGAACTCATTTTTAGGCTTGGTAGCAAACTCTTTGCCACTGAGCCATTGCCGTGGCCCAAGAAACACACTTTTCATAGAAAGTTAAACAGCCTAGGCCCAAACCTTTCTTCCAACTACAAAGAAGCAAAGGAAGTACCATGCTCAGGCAGCTTGCGGCTTTTCCTCTGTCCAGAAGATATGGGTAGGAATTCCTCAATCAGTACTGAGCTCTAAGAAGGAGAGTGTCCAGGAAAAATGCAGCATTAAAAAGTGAGTTCTGGTCCCAGAACCCTCACCATTGGTTCAAATCCTTCCCTCTCTGCCCCCTCAAATGAAAGGCCTTTGGGGATCATGGAGACCTTCTTCCTCTGTAAAGCGTGCTCTTGACCTGTGGACAAAACAGAGGAGGTAGAGCTCTGCTTTGCTAGCTCTGCAGGGTCAGGGGATGCTGAGTGTCAGGGAACACAGCCAGTGAAGGGAGGCAGACTTGCCTTGGGGGCCAAACACCAAGGAAAGTAGCCACATCCAACTTCCAAGTCAAAGATCTGATTCGGGTCTTGGGAGCAGATCTACCCATTTTCACATGCCTACGGCAAGGAAAAGGCATTGGATGTTCATGGCCCGCATACCCACAGGCCCATCCTTTGAGGGAAGAAAAACAGACTCATATCGAATGCGAAAATGTACTTTTTATAGGCAAATGCAGCTGGCTCTCAGCCTGAGGAGAGACAACAGTAGACAATGGTCAAAACGAGGACCCCCAACTGGCCAAAGTCCCAAAACAAGAGATAGCTGACTGTTGGGCCCTGGGACACATGTGTCAACTCCCCCAAGGCCCAAGTAATGTGGAAGAGGGGATGGAAAGGACTACAGGAACTGAAATACGAGGAGTGTGGTGGGACACTGTGGCCTGGATGTGACATGTGACTGTGAGAGCCCATGGGTGCTGAGACTGTCGGAACGGGGCCTGGAAAATAAAAGAGAAAGGAGGAGATAGTCCAGCCGGGGTGGGAGAGGACTAGGAGAGAAGAAGGACACTGGTGGGAGTGAGAGAAGATGAAAGAGGGCTTGGGAGGGAGTTGAACATGATCACAGTGCATTGTAGATGAGCATGTTTATGACAAAAACAAAAAGAGGAAAACCGAAAAACCAGCTTTGCCATAACATTTCACAGCAGTAAGTGTACAACATGCAATAGGGTTTTTAGAACGTGTTGGCAAAATACTTGAGATTTAAAACGAGAGTAGCAACTGGAAAGGGCTCAGATATTCATCAATGAGAAATCAGCAAAGGAAACTCGAATGCATGTGGGTACTGTCCCCTGAGTCTGATAAGACTGGCAAGGTGATAATTGTATCGACAGATACAGAGTTCCACAGATGCTTAAGTAAATACATGTTACAGGAAAGAAAGCCTTTACTCTTTGAACCCATACATGCAGGGCTAAGGGGAAGTTTCTGTCCTGCCCAGTCCCACGGTCTTCTAGTCCCAAATAAACACACAGAGGCTTCTGTTAATCATAAGCTGTTTGGCCAATGGCTCAGGCTTCTTATTGGCTAGCTCTCTTTAAATTATTAACCCATTTCTATTCATCTGTGTATCTCCACATGGTCTTGGCTTACAGGCGATGCCCAGAACTCTTGCTCCCTCGGCAGCTACATGGCATCTCTCTCACACCTCACTCTCTCTGAGTTCCTCTGCCCAGAATTCTCCTAGTCTGGTAGCCAGCTTCCTACCTGGCTACATCCTGGCTGTCCATTGGCCAAAATGGATTTATCCATCAACCAATAAGAGAAACGTGTATTCACAGCATAGGGAAGGACATCCCCCATCAGGAGGTCAGTGGGTTTTCCATAGAGGTGAACTGGGCCATTTGTACCCTTCGGGTGTCCTTACCATCTTTTACAGAGGGTGTGTAATACCGTTTTAAACCAAAGAAATAATCACAAGATATGGCATTTTTCCTCCATAAACATACCATTAGTAGAAATATTAGGAAGTAGAGTAAACGGAAGAAAGAAGTAAAGGAGACTTCCCACCCTCAATCACCACTTTCTTTTCTGTGGCTTGTTTATCTACTTATTTATTTACATGTTTTTAAATAAAAAAAAGACGAAAATGATAAGCCTGCTAGATAATGACTTCAAGCGCTTCGTCTCACAACCGATCATTAGCGATTTTTAATGTTTCTACATATTCTCACGAAATGTACTTTTTAATGGCTGCACATTGCAAAATATACATAATTCATTTAACCAACTACCTATTACTGAACAATTAGGAGGGGAGCTGTGTTTTAAAACAGCCATTAGGAGTTAATGACCTACACTTGTGCTCTTTCCAAAACAATATACACTCATAAAAGCACACAAGCCCCTGTGTGCTCTGTATTCTGGGCAATGCCTGGCATGAGGAGGGCTTAGACGGAGTCCGATGGTTGCAGCCAGCCAGGATTAGCACAGCGCGGACATAATGGAACACCGGCTTTTAGAGCTGGGGAAAATGGAATACTTCTCCCCTCTTCTGCTCATCTCAGAGTACATTTAGATCAGCCTCAAAGGTCTCTCAAATTGCTCTATTTACAAAGCTAAAAAGATTCTGTAGTTACATGCACACAGCGCCAGGCTTGAGAACCCAGGAGACTCAGCAGCTGCATTAGCTGGAGCAAGTTACACAACGTCTTTTGAACCTTGTTCTCTCATTTCTAAACGGCTGGGTGGGGGCGGGGTGTCATCCGCAGGAAACACCACACGGAGTCCACCGCAGTTCTCCATGGAGTGTCTTCCTGCTAGTGCTTTCCCTACTACTAACGCCGTTGTTTAAATATTGTACCCACAATGGTGGCCAGGCCTGTGCCTGGCTGTTTCTGGAGACCTGTGAGGGTATAAAGTTGTTTGAACACACAACTCCATGAGAAAGCCCAAGCCCAGGTGCAGCTCTGGTAGGAACCCATGGGTCATCCCTCTCTCTCCGTATTTCTAGTACACAGAGGTGGAGGAGAGGCAGGAAGGCAACATCCGGGAAGAGGAATGAGACATCAGCTGCCCCTGTCCTCCAGGGCCCACCGTAGTGAGCCCATCTGGAAAGATGAGGCTCTCACTCAGGGGAGAAGCGCCACAGCCACACCCTTTGGGGCCACTGGTCCTACAGAAGCTCACCTTTCTTATGTCCCCCGTGATCTGGGCAGCTCTGCCGTTAAGGGGACAGACAGGCTTCATATGGCACTAGGCATGTCCTACATGATGAGGAACAAATGCCGCCCCCCCAGTACGAATCCTCAGGTTTTAGACTTAGTTATTTCCCAGAAGCACTTGCTTTACTGCTGATCAAGTTCCAGGAACTCTGACTCCTGTCTCCAGGGGCAACACAGGTCTAAGTGAGGAACAGTGGGCAAACATACTGCAGAGGCTGGGCTTCCTCTTCCCCCTGCTCTGCCACAGGGGGTCAGCTGTTTTCATCTTGCAGGCATCCCAAGAAGACTCCCCCTTTGACATCATTTATCCCCATTTATCATCATTTAATAAAAGAGGAGGGGGTAAAAGACATGAAACTAAGTTTTCACCACATACACCTTAGACTCTTCTTCTGAATAGTTGTTTTAGCTATTTTTCTATATTGCCACATCCTCTTCAACTTATAAAATTGCATTTCTCTCACAAGACTAGGATCTTCATAATGGTCCAGGGAGGGCCTGAAACTAACTATACGGTGACATCATTTAATAGCTGGTGTTTTGAGGTTCACTTCTCCTAGTTACTACACAGAATCTTGAACAACCCCTGTAGTTTGCAATGTTTTGATTTATAAATATGTGAAAAAATACTATTTTATTTCTTCTAAGAGGGAAAGATTATAAGATCCAGAGGTAATGGACGACCACAAGGAAATGGTCTTTTCTAGGCGTGTGAAGGACACAGCGGTGGTGTTATGGCTGAGCATACCTACCTTGCAGACACTGCACGGTAGATACGCATACAAACTCACAAGACCTGCGCAAGCTGAAGCCGCAAAAAAGCCCAGTATAGAAAAGGGAGGAGAGCATGAAGTCCCACCTGCTGAAGAACTATAATCGATGGCTTCTGGGAGAGTAAGAGTCGGTTTTATTTAAGGGATAATACCTCGTTGACCATGCTTCAGTGGAAAACCACACAACCAAGGATTTATGCACAGTGCAAGTTGGACTTAATGAGGAAAAAAAGATTAAAGTTGGGTAGGGAATGGATGAGAAAGGCATGAATCTGGGAGTAGCTGGGAGAGGGAGAATATGATAAAAAATACATTGTTTGTATTTGAAATTATTGAAGAACTATTTTTAAAAGTTGATTGTAAGATGTCACAGTGTCATTATGTAAGTTGTTCCACACCTGTTATCATAGCACACTGGAGGTTAAGGACTGTAAGCATCAGGCCAGCATGGGCAATGTAGCTAATGAGATGACCACAATTCAAACAAAATAAAATATCACAACGTCTTTGGATTACAAGTCTGTTGGGAGGAGCCCATTTTAAATTCCAAGGAAAGTCACATGTGACCTGTGTGTTGCAAACAAAAAGCCTGCTATACAGAAACCCTTTCAAAAATTGTTGCCTAAAGTGTGTGTGCAGTGTAAATTAAAACACACAGTATGAGCCACCACAATGACTGGGCAAATCATCTGGTGATTCAGACTATGCAGAAATGAAACTGGAACTCAGGAACTCGTGAGAGGGCTCCATGGTTAAGAACGCTGGCTGCTGTTCCAGAGGACTGGGTTCAGTTCCTAGCAAACATACAGAAGCTCACAGCCATCCATAACTCCAGCTGCAAGCGATCCAATGCCCTCCTCTGATCCCCATGGGCACCAGGCATGCATGTATATGCATACACACACATCCAAGCAAAATACATGTTAAATTAAAAACTTAATCTAAAATCGTTTTAAAACCTAGAATCTCAGAAGACATCAATTTGCAACCTCTATAATATCATACATTTGAAGAACCTACTTTCGTTGATGTAAAATAAGTGAGAAAGGATACATACTCACACACACATTAATACACACATATACATGCATAAACACATGCATATATACACATACACATGCCTATACACATACATACGTATACACACATGAACTAGTACCTCAGATACGTTATCAACCTACATGCTTTGTTAGAAACATTTACCTGACTTTAATTTATAAATTTATGTTTAGATGACCATTGTTTTTCTTTAAGCAAATTATTTTACAACTACAGTATCTCATATTTCATTTGGTAGCAGCATCAAAATTACATCATATGTTAAGTTCCTGCCCCAGTTGAAGCAGCAAACTGCCCATGTCTTAGATATACATGTGTGCTCACAGCCTGTGTTTTAATTACAGAAACCATTTCTTCAGTGTGTCATTCGTGGGATGTAAAGAGCAAATGCAGTAAGAAACACAATGTTGTTTTGTTTTGATTTTTTGTTTTGTTTTGGATGTTCAGCCTAGTTTAGGCTCCTTTTTGACTAGCTCTTTTTTATTTTAATTTTAATTTAAATTAGAAACAAGGTTACTTCACATGTCAATCCCAGGTCCTTCTCCCTTTCCCTCCCCTCCTCCCATGCCCTCCCACCAACCCCCCAATGCCCCTCATTTTCCAGGGAGGGTGAGGCCCTCCTTGGGGGTGTCCATAGTCTGTCATTTAATCCAGGGCAGGGCCTAGACCCTCCCCCAAGAGTCCAGGATGAGAGTGCATCTCTCATTGTGGGATGGGCACTCAAAGTCCATTTGTATGTGAGGGGTAAATACTGATCTACTACCCAAGGCCCAATAGATTGCCTAGGACTCCTCACTGACACCGACATTCAGGGCATCTTGATCAGTCCCATGCTGGATTCCCAGCCATCAGTCTGGGATTCAAGAGGTAGCCTTTGTCAGGTCACCTGTTTCTGGGGGTTAAACCAGCCCAATCTTAACCCCCTTGCTCATCAGTCCTCCCTCTCTGTCACTGGGTTCCTTGAGTTCAGCTCAGTGTTCAGCTGTAGGAGTCTGCCTCTGCTTCCATCAGCCATTGAATGAAGGTTTTGTTTCCCAGACTCTATGGCAGTAAGATTGTAGGCTGGCACTCCCCAAATCTATATCTAAAATCCATAAATCAGGGAGTACATATCATGTTTCTCTTTTTGTGACTGGGTTACCTCACTCAGGATGGTTTCTTCTAGTGCCATCCATTTGCCTGCAAATTTCAGGATTCCATTGTTTTTTTTTTCTGCTGAATAGTACTCCATTGTGTAAATGTACCACATTTTCTCTATCCACTCTTCAGTTGAGGGGCATCTAGGTTGCTTCCAAGTTCTGGCTATTACAAATAATGCTACTATGAACATAGTGGAACAGACGTCCTTGTTGTATGAATGTGCATCTTTTAGATATGCCTAAGAGTGGAGTTGCTGGGTCTTGTGGTATGTTTATTCCCATTTTTCTGAGGAATCTCCAGACTGATTTCCAAAGTGGCTTATGAGTTGGCACTCCCACCAGCAATGGAGGAGTGTTCCCCTTTCTCCACAACCTCTCCAGCATAAACTGTCATTGGTGGGTTTTTTTAGCCATTCTGACAGGAGTAAGATGGTATCTCAGAGTTGTTTTGATTTGCATTTTGCTGATTGCTAGGGATGTTGAGTACTTCCTCAAGTGCCTCTCAGCCATTTTAGACTCCTCTATTAAGAATTCTCTGTGTAGTTCTGTAGCCCACTTTTTAATTGGATCCTTTGGTGTTTTAGAAACTTGCTATAAAAGACCCAGGATATCCAAAACAACCTTACTCAACAAAGTAACATCTGGAGGCATCACCATCCCTGACTTCAAGCTCTATTATAGAGTTGTAGTCCTGAAAACAGCTTGGTATTGGCACAAAAACACACAGGTAGACCAATGGAATCAAATTGAACACCCTGATATTAACCCACACATGTATGAACATCTGATCTTCAACAAAAAAGCTAAAAATATACAATAGAAAAAAGAAAGCATCTTCAACAAATGGTGCTGGCATAACTAGATGCTGGCATGTAGAAGAATGCGGATAGATCCATGTCCATTGCCATGCACAAAACTTAAGTCCAAATGGATCAAAGACCTCAACATAAATCCAGCCACACTGAACCTCTTAGAAGAGAAAGTAGGAGGTACCCTTGAACGAATTGGTACAGGAGACCACTTCCTGAATATAACACCAGTAGCACAGACACTGAGATCGACAATTAATAAATGGGACCTCCGGAAACTGTGAAGCTTCTGTAAGGCAAAAGTCACAGTCAACAAGACAAAAAGGCAGCCCACACAATGGGAAAAGATATTCACTAACCCCACATCTGACAGAGGGCTGATCTGTTTTGTTTTTTTAATGTTTATTCTGTCTTTATCTAAATAATGAAAACACCAATTGAGTTACATAACTAGAAACCACAAATGATTAGGCACAATCCACCCCATTTCCACAGCTACCCAGAGCATTTCAAGGTAACATTCCTTCCGGGGCATGGCTGAAACACATCAGAAGCCTCCTAGTGCACAGTTAAAACAATCAGCACATTATTGTGAATGTGATTGCAGTGGCCTTCTTTTTCAAGACATTAACTTGCCATGTTTTATATAGCAAGGCAATATTTGGATAATTCCATGATGCCCAGTGTCTCATAAGAGTGAATAATGCTCAATGCAAAGATGTGGTAGGTGACAGCTCCCAATGGCAAGGAATAGAGCCCTCCTCTTTGAGGTAGCTCTTTTCTCTGAAGTAGAACATTGTCTCCTGGGGAAGCTACCTTTGAACACCTATGCTCCTGTAATTGACCCCAGAGGCTCATTGGTCCATCCAGCTAGATTCTGCCAGAAACATTTCTTCTGCCAGTCATCAGTGTCCTATCTGAGGAAATAAATATGTGTACACATCTCAGAAAAGGACACCCATACTGAAATCCCGGGGAAGAGGCCAATACTTAAATAAAACATTTGACTACAGTTTGCAAGTGGCCTGGGATCGCATGCTGCTGGCTGTTAGTGAAGCTGCTGCTCGATGTGAGGTAATCCCCTCGGACAAAGTTCCTCCTGGAAGTGCGATCCCTGAATCAACATACAAAGGCAGAGAGCAGACTGCAGAAAACCAAGCATGTCCCCACAGGAGCTGCATCCACACACTGTGGGGAAGGGGGTGATATTGGGAGATTCCCCACCAGAGAGCAGTTAGTAACAGGGAGGGTACTGGGGGATGCTGGGGGCTCTGAGGGGGATACTTGTGGGTACTGAGGGAGATACTAGTGTGTATTGGATGATACTAG